TATATCATGTTGTGACGTCATCTTGTTTATTCTGTCCTGATGATGCACTGATGAAACGTTGACGGAATAGTTAGCCCTTCTAACTGCATTGCAGAGACACAAGCTTGTATCGTTATTCCAAATATAACCTAATATTTAAATGCAGTTATGCCTGCTATGATCTGTTCGATGTTTCTTTCTAAATTTCTTGGTTTTAAAAATTCTACAAATTGGAAAACCTCACAAAAAAATAAAACATAGTTACCCCCAATAGTTTATAACCCGTTAAAAAAGTGTTTCACACTTTACCAAAATCGCTGAATATTGCTACATATATGATAAATAAATAATTAACAAATAAAATTAGATCACTATAAATATTTAACGGGTTGGAATACATTATTGTTTTTGCTTACATTAATAAAATACGATATTTTTTTTTTAAGTATTGTTAACAAATATTTTGTGAACATGAAATCAAAAAATAAAGTACCTTGTTCCGAGCGGGAAATCGTAATTGTAAAATGACAAAAAGTAATAATTAATAAAATAAAATTGATTATATTAGTTAGAATAAATTGATCTGAGAAATGATAAAGTGAAATATGAAAATAAAAATATCTGTACTTTCTATGAAATAAAATGCATATTGATTATAATTATGTAATGTAATAATTTATTTAAACAAAAACAAATCAAAAACGATGACACTGCTACAAACTAATATTACATTTCAAATACACTACTTATTGCGTAACTTATAATTCATAGATCAATTGAATTGGCACAAAGATGACCAGAATTTTAGTTCAAGAAATCTTAGACGGATGTTAATAATGTTTTTTTCAGCTGTTAACCGTTCTTACATATATGTACTTCCATTTCTAGCAAATGCCGACTTGATTTTCTTCTAGAACCTATTAATAAGTTATAGAAGAAATGATGTTTCTCGCCTTCCAACTCATTCAAGTGAATATAGATAGTACATATTATGTTTCCCGTAATTTGATACATTAATTATGGATTTCATCAGCCTTTTATTTATCTGACATTTATGTAATCACATACCATGTTCACATTTTTCCCGCTTACAACTGTGGAGTATCATTACCTACGATGCACGTAACATTTATTATAACGGATCTAAGCTTTTTTTTTTGTAGGCTCACATACAATGCGACTATATCATATGACAGATGAGGGAATCAGCTTTCTCTGTACTACGGTAGGTTATTGAAGGTCTAGACTGAAATGGGAGAAAGGCATATATGATCGATTACACACACATTCACTAGTAGCCCTATAATGTTATATAATAAGAAAGTTGTTCGAAGGCCCCGCCCTTGAACTGAAGAAAGAACCCGATAACAAGAACGAATGTCCCGACTTGGGTAAGATAGGTTCGGGAATCAAGTACACGAGCCTTCACCAGTGCTTATAAGGACTGTGAAAGTCCAAGTAGATTGTAGTGGCATTAACCCATATTGTGGTTGACCAAATCGTTGATGCTAAATTACCTGTCATTCCATCATTAAAAGTCTATCCTAGTGATGGATAGTCTTTTAATTTTGATTTTCTTGCAAAAAAAAAATCTACCAGAATATCAATAATGAAGTTTCCTAACAAAGGGTAGTTGCAATTTACATATCTCAGTAAACCTGCATGGAGATAATTATACGTAATAAATAACAAAATATATTTATTAAATATTATATATATATATATATATATATATATATGCACACGTTACAATTTATTCCGCTTTTCATTGAATTCATTAGCTCGTATCCTGTAAAACCGAACTTGTACCATAAACTGTAAGTATTTACCTACATGCATTCCTCCGGAACTATCGAATCCTGCGTTTTAAGCCCAAAAACGTACTATTTTCGATTTAACGCAAGGCATAGGGTTCGCATCCACACAACCTTTCATTAATTGTAGTACTGTCATTGAATACATGTCTCATTTTGTCGACTTGAGGTCCCTATGAGAGAGGAGGAGTTTATATTATTTATCGATGGTGTTTTTGATCGGCAAGCCATATCATCGTCAATTTTTCACCAAATCTCAAAATTGAGCCACCAATTTTGAAGGCTTCCTTCTGCTTCAGGCGGACAAAATAGTCCAATCACCCCGAAAATTCAGGCAAACAAGTTATAAAATAAAGCAAACTTTATTTGCGAATAACCAAAAAATTACACACTTTTGCCTACGCCCGTGATTATATAAAAGATTACTAAATTCCCTACAAAAGGAAAAAAAAATCATTGCAATGGGACAATTTTTAGCAAAGATACAGCTTACTGAAATTTGTAAACATGTTGGTTCCAAACAAAAATGAAGATTTAAATTAATTTTTGTTTTCTTTGTCGATTATATTTATCGATAAAGTAACATTTGATTTCTTTATCTTTTGATACGTTGCATTATTTTCTTTTATTTTTAATCTGGCATTTGATAACAATATGCTGTGCGAATTTTTCGCACGGGCCTACTAGTTCCTCTAATTTTTCATTCGGGCTTAGTTAGGTTTCTCCTATCTGAAAAATTACAGTAAGCTAATAATAAGCTAATAAGTAACTGTAAGACTGTTGCGAGACTCTTGCTCATGACCAAGACTCGTCTCGGTCTCACATTTGGGCAACACCATTTCCCACCATTCTTACAAATCATGTTAATTTATAAATTGAAAAAAAAATTACTTGAAATTAAAGTAAAATGAACAACATCAGCAAAGGCACCTTTGCCGAAAATTAAAGGCTATTCCTTCTACTCCACTCTCTCATCCTATTCCTGTTCCCCCACTGTTCCAAAATTCGGCCATCAGTAACTTGTCAAGGTATATTTACTATCAGTCATAAAATTTCGAAACAGACTTGTCTCCTCATTTGTAAAGGAAATAACAGGTTTTAAGAATATCTCATTATTTCTCTCTTAACCATGTCACTGGCATTAGAAGCCAGTGGAGGCTTGAGGAAAAAACAAAAAGCATAAATTGGATCCATATTACTCATTGTAATTATTTTCACTTGATGATCTAACATAATTAGATACATAAGAGAAGAACTGGCAGGATATGTAGAACAAAAAGATACAATGTCTAAACTTTTGAATTGGTTGCACAAAAGAAATCGGGGAAAAGTATACATTAGTTGTTTAAAAGATTAATATTCTTCCATTATTACTCTCAATACCTAATATTAGGAGAAGATTAATGTCTTAATTAGCCTACCCTGATTGAACGTATGACCTTTTCGTTCTTAATGTAATCAGTAGGTACAGATATCATACCATATCAAACTTAATCATTCCATATCATTCAATACCAAACTTATTTTTATATAATTATTTCATAATATTGAGATATATTACAGTCTGTCAAAATTTAGGGCATTAGTAATTGTGATAAAAGAGTTTAACATATTTACAATAAACAAAAATTAATTAAATGGAAGGACAGCAAACCAATAATTCATTGTACTTAAATTATGAGAATGAAGAGACACTAAATTAATGTATAATAGAAACATGGGAAATCCTTAATAATGGAGATTATTTTTTTTAAACGTTATGTAAATTTAAAATATAAAACATTTATCTTATTTTTTTTATATGTATAACTGCTCCTGGGTACTATTCTTCATCATGCCTCCCATGCCATGTTTTACATAACAACAAATCTGCAAATTGTCACTACCATGATAGAGATTTGAAGAAAAAAAAAAAAAAAATGTCTAAATACGAAGTAGAATTTAAAAAGTGTTTTTATTGCAATCGGTGAGAATAAAAAGACAAAGTACCACAGAAAGTTACGTCTTCAAAAACTTAAGGTTTTTTAAAGAGCTCTCCCTTCAAGCAGAGAGACTTCGTGAGTCAAGCGTTCGTCAGCTGATAATATGCATACAGAAGCGGTTTTAGGAAAAAGCTGATGAAATTCTCACAAAAAAAAGTTATTTAAAAAATTCTACTTTTATCGGATGGTGATATTCCAACCAATCAGGTGTTTTATTTTTTAAAAAAGTGATTTCGTAAAGATGAAAATAAATCAAAATATGTTGTATAACACACCATACATTATTTAATTATAAATTAAGAAATGGCATCAAAAAAAGTTCAATCTACGTTTTAATGTGATAAATGTGATTAGAAACTCAGTTTTGATTAATATAAATTTTCTCTACTTCAACCAAGAATGTAAGACACAAAGTATTCATTCACAAGCATTCAAAGTATAGGCACAAAAAGAAAAAAAAAAATTGTACAATCATAAAATTAAGAATCATTAGTTTATGCATTTCTTCGACTTTTTTTTTACTATATACTTATTTCATAATATTGAGTTATATTATATTCTGTCAAAATTTAGGGCATTAGTAATTGTGATAAAAGAGTTTACTATATTTACAATAAACAAAAATTAATTAAATAGATGGACAGCTAAGAAATAATACAAAACAAATTAAAAAAGAAAAAAGAAACTTATTATTAAATTGTACGAAATTAAAACTCAAATATAGGCTAACTTGTTTATTCAGATTTACAAAGATTATTCAGATGAGCCAAACTTTCCCTCCACCCTCCGTGAAGGGAAAATTAGGACTCTAGGAGATCCCAGGGAATCTTTTTCAGATATTAATAGCCAGAGGAGGCTCACCTCTCAGGCTTAAACTTTGTAACCTAAATCTAATTAAGAAATATACTTTTTTTAAGCGGATTAGTTAAATCCTGAAATAGGCAAGACTACACAGGTAGGTAGTCCAAGACTTCACAAGCTCAGCACTCTGCAACCAGTCTTCGTTTGCTGTGGTTTTTGTGAAATAATAATTATTATTACGATAAAACAAATTCTTCAGGGATAGAAACACTTTCAATCAACATTTATAAGCAATAATCCTACTAGATGGTAAACCTGAAAATATATTGACGTAGATGATGACGAAACCCCTTGGCCAAGGACACTATCAACCCCTCGGGTAGTTCACAGTTAGTAACCTGAGGACCGCGCTAATTAGAAGTCACTAGATACCGTGGCAAAGATAGCACAATGCTCCTTTCTCCTCCGAGGATCGAAAGTGGTCGCCTTCCTGCGGCCCTCGCTCTTCCTTAAGTTCTGCCTCGTTCTTAATTCCGAGAGCTTTCCTTCCGTCGCGATGCCTTACAGAGAATGCAGTTTCTTCTGATCGAATGTCGCTTAACTGGACTGGTCTCAAAACCGAGAAGTCAACATGGTCTTAGATTTCCTGGAATGAGTCAATGCCTCTTCCTTCTGATGAGACTGATCTAGAGTTTTAAAAATATAACTAGAAAAGGCGATATGACGAATATCATTGAGTTGTTGTGACGCAGTTACATATATACTGTAAAAGCATAAATACTTTTAAAATAAAACAATTAACTTTTTTTTTATTATTTTGTGTTGGATAAATACAATACAATGAATGTAATGTGTTATTTACGGCTGCTTCAAATGTAAATAATGAAGTAAAAAGTACTGTTGTAAGCTGCCAAATTCAAAAGTACTTCCAAAAGTTCGCTCGGTATTTAGTGGGGAGATGACAGGAATAAAGATAATCTTAAATCCATTGAGACAACTGAGAGTACTTATTGGGTCGTGGTAGGGGAGTCGATGAGTGCAATACTACCCATTCAAAATCCGTAAAGAAATTATGTTCATCAGAGTACATGAAAGAAGTACAAGAAATGAAAAAGCGTACCAAGATTAAAAAAGCATACCGGTTGTAACAATTAATAAAGTATCCGTATAAGACTTTTTAGATATTATAAAAAAAGTAATTATTTTAAATCTGGCAATGACAACAAAACGAATCTATATTAAAAGAGATAGAAAGACGCTGTTACAAAATGGAAAACATTTTACCGTCTTACCAGAAAAGAATACAAACCCTTAACCTTAAGGGTTAAGAATTGGGAGGGGTGAGTTTTCGCATTAATTAGAGTTAAAACGCCCAAACACATAATGTGAGACTTGGAAAAATTGGGTCTGGCACCAGACCTAAAAAAAAATCTCGAACGAGAGCGAAAAAAACGGTAAAATGTTTGAATTTTTTAAATCAATGAGCTACATAACAGAGTTTTTGCAGAGTAGATACGACAAAATACCAAATAAATAAATCTTTTTTCTTCAATCTAAAAATATGGCCTTAGATGGTGCCTGGGAATGCTTTTCAACTTTGAGGGAAGGTCATGCATGATTTTCTCTTAAGTTGTGTTATGAGAATCAGTACCTTAAAGTAGTTATTACCTTTTCTTTATTATAATTTATTCTTATTTAAGAAATGAAAATCATTATAATCTAGAACCTCGATAAAAACTTTTGAATATAACACATTAATTGACCTTCTTTAAATAGTCTATACCGATAATTCTTAAAATCTTTGCCAAATCGGCGATGTGTCAAACGTAGCGTTTAGTGTGCACGTCGAACATTTCATTATACTAGGTTGCAAACCCATAAATTAGGAACTATCTGCAAGGTATAAAAAAAAAAGTTGGTACGTTCACGACCTCTAGTTCTCGAATTCGCTGAGTCAGTTTCGATCTCATTTCCGATCCGCTGGGTCTTACCTAACGCTAAAAGAAAGAAGTTCAAACGCCTCAAAGGACTTCCTAGATTCGAAGTCAATAAAAAAAGTTTAAATTAAGTAACTGCTTCTTCCGTTAGGTAACTGCTCCTACCTCCAGAACGAATCCGTCTTCGAAGGTGATGATTCATTGTCCTTGCTCAGGATAGGTTATTGCATAATAGGCTCTATTTAGACATATGTTAATGCAGAGTAAAATACCATTATGGGAAGTTTACTATCGATAAATTGTCACCATACTCAATGTATTTAATTCATGCACGAATCGACCCGAGGTTGGACAAAAATATTGGATTAGTACTAGATATAAAATATATATGAGGTAAACAGATAAGTGATGGATCTACGAATAAGTCTTTGGTTTACTTTAAGTAAGACCTTTTCGTAAAAAGTTCAATTACTTTTAGGTGAAAAAAAAAAAAATAAAATAAGTGAATAAAATAAAAATTATAAAAAAAAAAAAAATGTAAAAGAGTCTTGTCAATCGACTAAATGCATTCTTGCAACAAGACAGCATTTAACAACTCGGTGGTAAGTTATTCCGTCCGAAAGAAATCGATTACAAAATTTAAATCCAAAGAACAAACCATTCTCCCATAAAAATAAACATATGTTGAAGTCAAACGAAAATAAACGCAAAATTCTGCCTTTGCTCTAAATAAAGACAACGAAACATCTCTCTTATGAACAACTATTTTTCAATGGTCAGAAATCTATTTTTGAAGATCTTGCAACACGTTATCTCCTTAATTGACGGTCAGTTACTAAAGCATACATCTAGGACAACTTTATGTGCAGTATTGCCTAACTTTTTATAAAAAACCAAAAAAGAAAAAATGGGAATAGAAATAATCAAACTGAATCGAATACAACGTTCGAAAATTTTCACCTTATTATTCCTAATCAATGCAAACTTCTTTCCACTTTTAACACTTTTTACTGTGTAAGTACGTGGTAAAATGATGTTTTGACTTAAGTGGCTATAGATATGTCTGGAATCATGCAAAAAACGATTTTCTGGAAAAGAAATAAAATTTGTGAGAAGAACATTTGTTTTAGAGAAAAAATACTTTATTCAATGTAGTGTTGCCCTACTACATATACAGTTATATATGTATAGTTATATACAGCATACTGATCAATCCCATTTGGACATAGAACATATATTACATTATTTTATTACTATATATAGGTCTGCAAGCATTTTTCCTTCCTTTTCATAACAACAATCATATAAAAGATCACCAATATTCTACTTTAAAATATCACTATTACATATTGCTATGATAGGCGCAGAATTCAGACCGTCTCCCAATAAAAATGTTGAATGAGCGAGAATATAGATTCGCCTCCCCCCCCCCCCTAATAATTTGAGGTATAAAGAAATCAAAATAAAGAATAAATAAGCTACATGAATGACTAAAATCGATTAAGAAATGACAACTACCTAGAGCCTAGTAACAGGCATATAACTATTTTATTGATAACTAAATGTTACTTTTATTTAATATTGTAAATAAGTATGAATGCGTTTTTATATTTTTATTTAATGTTGTCTCATGTTTCATTTCTTCTGTATTACTAAAAAATTCTTTTTATTTTCTTCTTTTATAATTTTTCTATTGTTTTTGTTATTGTATGTACGGTATGAACGAGTCTCATAGATCTCAAATATTCAATGCCCCTGATTCAGGCAAAAACAATATTAAAAAAATTATTTAGATTGTAATTTATATTCAAAGATAATTATATATATATATATATATATATATATATATATTTAAACTTAATTATTTAATTGGGAATAAGGTTACTGATTAATTATTCAATAAACTATTGAATGTTCATTTCTTGAATGAACACCGAGACTGTCGGTGTGTCCCTGGTCTGATCGAAGCTCTATTTTTTAAAATTCTAGCTTTGAAGAGGATCCCATGGTTGACTAATAAAAAGAAAATACCGGGATCGAAACGTCAATAAACAGAAGAAATAAACATTCAATAATTTATTGAATAATTAATGAGTGACCTTATTCCCAATTAAATAGTTAAGTTTAAATTTAATACTCAAAGATCGATTAAGGAAAAGTTGTAAATATATATATATATATATATATATATATATATATATATATATATATATATATATATATTGTTTTTTTAATATATACAGCTTCAAATAAAATTACGTTTTTTACAATCCAGTTCTAGAAATGTACTAATGGTATGTTATGAAGGCTGATTCCCTTTCTTTATTTATAATTCTTACACATAATAAAACCGACGGCCATTTTTTTTTTTGTTTTGATCCATTGCTCTCCCAATCAAAATCAAAATTCTGCGCCTACGATTGTCATAACATTTAATTTTCTATTGCTAGCTTATTATTATTCAACCTCCGAAATTCGATAACCATCCTCTTGATTTGCGAATACTACCTTCACGCTTCGAAGGCGGATGTATAAATTTGACCAATTCATTTACGATCCTTTTCAGTTGACAATCGGTACCGAATTGAGAACGCCGATGAACTAATTCCGCAGAGCAGCTATCTGTTCTAATAACAGGGCGCCCTGACCCCGGAGAAAGCTCGATAAGGTAACAGCCTTATTGTTTTCCAAAACACAGTTACTTTCTCCTTCACACGTGAGCCAATTCCGGCTCTTTGGGATTCAGTTCCAACCGCCTGCATTAGTTGAGAAAGGTATTCCTTCCGACGATCTGCATGTCAGTTCCGCATCGCCTGTCGGCATACGCAAATATACTTATTATAATATTGTTTTCGTGTTATTTCTTTATATTATCATATTTTCATTCTCCTTGAACTGATTTTTATCATTAGGTATAAGGTAGTCTTATCTCTACCTCAAAAGGGGGCTCCTCCGTTAAAATTTCTGAGAGTATATTTTAAAGGGGTTTTTAATTTTTGGAGAGGGAGTTGTCATTTTTACGATGTTTTGAATTTTAGAAGAAAATCGTGTTTTTACGTGGTTTCACTTTTGAGGAACGTTTGAAGCATAGAACGAGGAGGAAACATGGAACAGACAAGTTATATGTTTACACCAAGCGTAATTTTACGCGATCTACAATCTTTTTAATTCTGCTTTCGCTTGGAGAGTTTTTAATAAGGGAAGAGAAATAAAATTTAAGGAGGCACGCGAATCGAACCGGGGAAAGGGAGGAATGTGCACATCTGTGTTTGTGTGTGTAAATATATATATATACATAAATGGCATCCAAAATGTCCTTAATCCTTAGACCTTGAGCGTTCTATTTCTCTCCAAGAACTGGTTCACTGAGCTTCGCTGACCTCCAAGACAACTTAGTTGCCCCCTTTCGGGCCTTACAAGGCAGTCCTCAATCGCATATATCATTGCCAACAGCGGACTACACGATTGCCGATTTGTATTTATTCACTGAATGTATTTATTATTTAGTTTATATATTCAATTTACATATCTGAATATATTTGTTCAGATATTTCGTTCGTTATGTTTATGCAAATTATTTTTGGTACATCGGATGTAAAATAAAATTGTTAATTTAGTACCTTTAACAAGAAACCTATTAACTTTTAACATAAAACAACCAACGTCATAATAATTGGTGAACCTCAACTATAAATACGAAACACACACCTCATAACAGCCAAAGTAAAATAAAATATATTTTGTACTATGATCACAATATATACTATTTATCCGGAATTCCTGATATTCCAATGTTCAAAAGATGAAATATTGTTGCTAGGTCCAGAAGTAAAGAATATTAATATTATCTCAACGCAAAGTGGAGAAAAAATAGTTAAAAGATAAATCATAATCAAGGTCATAATAAAAAATAATTTATGCATTCTTCAGAAATCGAAAATATTTATGGACTGTAACTATGGTAAAAAAAGTGCCATATTTTCAATAATTATAAATAATTGTGTGCATCACACGTTTTCAATATTACTACTATTATTGTTATGTAATTAGTTGATACGCATCAATTCTGAGATATGGTTCCAGATTTAACCACTGTTGTAAGTTTTCTTTCGAACTCTAAACACAAAACGACCCATCAATTGTCCTAGTGACCCCATCTATATCAGAATAACACGAAAAACAAGTTTGTTTTGTAATTTTAGTTTCGAAATCGAGACCTTCCTTGGTGTTATCTTGAATGTTTACTGCAAGTCGAACCGTCATTTCTTTTAATTTGTTCTATTTTGACTCATTAAAATTGTAACATCAGTGATATTCATAGTTCGAAAAAAAATCTACTCTGTTTCACAAATAATCATAAGTTTTACAAGAGAAAAATCTTTCATATATATCACAGGAGGCCGCATGTGGCCACTGTAGTAGCGGCTTCCAAACGTTTCTGCGCGATATTTATTATTATAGCTCTAGAATTAATTAATATTTATTTATTTAAGTAAAGAAAATTTGTAATAGAATTTTTTTATTTTTTTTATTTCTTAATGATATTTACATAAATACATCTAGTAAATTTGGACATAATAAATATAATGACATGAATACACTTGCTGAGTAACTACTCAATGGTAGCACTCTAATGATATGACTACATTAGGAGATCACGGGGCCATCTTCTTTTCAGACGCCTCGGAGGGTTATCAGGGATGGAAGAGGAAGCAAGGTTAGAAACGAGAGGGTTGGGATGATTCTGAAGTTTATTATGGGGGATAGGTATCTGAAACATAAGGAACATTAAGATCTTTATGGATAATTTTATTAGTGACAAAGTAAGGAGCATTGAGGATTTTACGAAGGATTTTGGATTGTAATGATTGGATGCTAGAGGAATTCGATGGTTTAGTGGAGCCCCATAGCTCAACTTTTGTAATTAATGGGAAGTGTAAAGCATTTGTCTAGTAAGTGCTGAAGTAATCGGAAACGTTTCAGTCTAGTATGAGGATTCCAAGTTAGTCGCTTGTCCTGGTGGAGTCCTAGGTATCTAATTTGCTAAACAGGGATTAGTGGAGTATTGTTAAACGAAACTGTAGGACAGGCAGTCGTTGGTTTACAACGGTAATAGAATTAAGTTGAATGTATGTACGTGGGTGTTTGTATTTAGTGACGAAAAAAATAGCAATAGTAAATAAATAAAGACTAATTGCTGGC